ATATGCATCACTTTTAGAAATAGAATTTAGCTTTCTATAATCAATGCAGATTCGTTTATCTCTAGTTTTCTTTGCTACTATAACTACAGGAGAAGCCCAGGGCTTACGATTTTCTGATAATTCCATTTTCTTTTATATATTTGATTTCATTCTTGAGAAAATTAAGTTTTACTGGATCCTTGCACTTATAAGCTCCTGTGGTAACTGGGTCATGATCATTGGTCAAAATATTATGTTTTACCAAACTAGTTCATCCAATTTTTTTTTGGCTTAAGGCACATATATCCTTATAATCATCAATTAATTTTTAAAAGGACGTTTGCTACTTGTCAACAAGAGGTCCAACCTGAAGGTCATCTTTAATTTTCCAAATATTTTCTTTAGAAGTTTCAGCAAGAAATATGGCTAGATTAACTTCAAATTCTTTCTTAAATGCAAGAGTTAAATAGATAGGGTTTTCTTCATTCCAAAGATTGTAGTCAAGAGGTAGAAGGTCAGTTTCCTCCTCATATTCTTCTTGACTATCTGCCATATAAGCCTCAATTTCGCTAAGTTCTTCTTCCTTTTTAGTCATCTAAAACTTGCTCTAATTCGTCATCCTGATGATCTTAGTTAGAGGGATAACTAATAGGAGTTTCATTTGCACTAGAAATTACAGAAACTGTGATTGTTTTCGCTAAATATCTCAACTTAATTTGGTGGTTTCAAAATCAAAGCTAGCATGGATTTTTCTAAACCAATTCGTTTAAAAGTAGAGTTTCATCTTGAGAGTCAATAACTTGTAAAGAAATGAGAATTAATAGGTTTTGAATAGCAATTTGAGCTCTTTTAACTTTTCCTAATGCTCTAGTCCTTTTTCCATTAGCAGTGACTATAACAGTATTAGACTGTTTATCAATAGATAATCCTACTTTCTTCATTAACTTCCTGGTGATAATGCTGACAGCAGCTCCAGAATCTAAAATAGCAACAACAGGGTTTCCTTTAATTCTAACATAGCAACGAATGGCTGTAGATTTGTCTTCTTTTTCTTCATCACTTTCTTGATTAGCATAATTTGTTTCTTGAATTTTTGGTTTTCTCAACCCTTGAGCAAGGTTACATCTCTAATTTGGGTATTGCAAAAGCTGACCAATTTTTGCAAAAGAAGGCATTTGCAACAAATCTTGCATAACATTATAGGGAGCCATTTGATCAATTTGGGATGGTTCTCATTTAACTTTCTTCTTTTGAGTAGGAGTAATAATTTATGGAGTTTCCACTTCCATAAATTCATCAATAGGTTTTCTGTTTCTCAAGTTTAGTTCCCTTCTGAATTCAGATTGTTTCTTTCTTTCTGCTTCTAATTGTCAAGCAGTTTTTCTATTAGTAGTATAAGGTTTGTTTCGTGAAAGAGCATAAACTTCTTCTTTCTCTACTTCTTCAATTTCTTCTTCTTCACTATCTGTAAAAACTCCAACATAACTGGGTTCTCTTTTATCAGATTTCCTTCGATATACTGGTTTTTCAGACATGCATTCTTTTGAATAATGTCCTTTTTCTTGGCAACGATAACAAATAACATCCTTTTTATTCCAAGCCTTTGTATCCCAAACTTTTGTAAGATTTCTATCATCTTTTGGCTTTCTTCTTTCAGGTTTTTCTTCAAGTTGTGTGGATAACGCATTAGAGAGAGTTGCATAGTTTAAGAATAGCGTTCCATTTGTTTAGTAAGATTATCGATAGAATTATTGCTTCCACTTGGTTGAGTTAGTACAGAAGATTGCTGTTCATAATATTGACTACTCTCAACTTGTTTAGCTGCTTTAATAACTTCATCTACATTTTTAGAATGAGTAAATGCTACAAGAGGAATGATATTCTTCCTTAATCCATTAAGAAAAGTCTTATAGTATATTTATCTGGTAAGGCACTAGAAGACTCGACTTTCTTTAACAATCTTTTAAATTTTTCTGCATAAAAATCCACTTTTTCATAAGGCCCTTAACAAAGTGTATTTAATTGATGGTACCATAGATTTTGCTTTTCTTCAGTTGAGAACTTTTCCAAAAATAATGGTACAAAACTTGCAGTAGCATTACCATTTGAACTCCAGTAAGTGATAGTATTGACATTTTCTTCAAACCAATATGCAGCTAGTCCATGTAGATATCCTGATACAATTTTTAGCATTCGAGCCTTAGACTAATTATTTGCTTCAACAGCAATTTCAAAGCTTCTGATCCAATCATTAGAGTCTTCATCGTCATTCCCATAGAAAGGTTTTACCGTAATAATATTACTTTCTTTTGATGTAGTATTTTCACCATATCCACCTGAACCAAATGGTGTATTTTTAATATCTTTAGCAAGATCTTTGAAACTTTTCGTCATGTGATCCATGAGGTTCTTTAACTGTTCAGTATTCATTGTTGTTTCAGTTACTTCAGAGGTTGTAGATGTAGGAGTAAGGGGTGAAATAGAAGTATTAAAAGATTTTTTGAAGCACTCAGTAGTGTGAGTAATTAATAATAAATGTTGTAAAATGGAAGGTAAATTAGCAGGGTATAGGTAATAATTTAAACAATATAATAATGCGACTACTGCTTTTGTTGTTTTATTAATATTATGAGCATTTTTACGATAACTATTCAAATAAAGCTTAAATGCTGTTAAAGAGCAATTACTGAATGCTGTAGTATTATATTCACTAAAGATCTAATTCCAAAGTTCTTAAAATTCTTTGTTACTATTTGATTAAAAGGATTACACTGCACACAAAATGCGTCTTTTTCCAAAGGTAAATTATTTCTGTATACTTCTTTATGATATTCTTGGATTATTTTTAAAATGTCAAACTAGTGGGTATATTCATATAAGTTTAATAAAGACAATTATAATCCTGGCAGGAATTACCAATTTGTTAACCCTACGCTCAGCCGTCGAACTTAGGCAACAATGTCTTAATAACAGGGAGTAATATGCGAGAAACTACTAAGTTACTGTGAAATAAGTCCTATCATAATCAACCTTAGATTTATACTTTAGATGAGTAAAAATAACTTTATCAACTTGTAAACACGATAAACACAATTGATACGTTGAAGGATTTTTAATATGTGTAGTTTAAAAAGAGATTCCTTTATTGTAGAGATTTGTATCCTTAGTAATTCTTAACCTTAGATTCTAAGTCTTGAACTCAAACTATTGAGTTTACACTATTATCTCTGCCCTTTTACAAGAACAAATTTTTATCCTATTTATACAAAAATACAATTATAAGAAATTGCTATCTAACGCTAAACTATTTTATAACGATAAGATAAATATAAAAGATAAATTATAATTTAATGATGAGAATAATTTAATAGATAATAATAATAACATATAAGAATAGAATAAATTAAATAAAAATGTTAACTAAGTTAAAAATGTTAATGATGTTAATAATGTTGATTATTCATCAATCTTTGTGACGCAGTAAGATTGACTTCACATGGTATCATCATATATCACTGCATATAGTATCTCTCAAAAAATAATACCTTCTGTGATTAATACTAGATATTATTTACTATTCATATTAACCTAATCACTAATAGTATTCAGATATATTTCAAAGCTAATCTTTGTGAAAATTGATTAATACCATTATAAAATCAATCATCTATAAATAAATGCATTTTTAAAATTTGTAAATGGCTAATTTTTATGATTAATTTTATGAAATACTATATATTCAAAACTCGATATAACAAATTTTAGATACAATATCTTCTGTATATTGTATACTTTTTAAAATAGTAATTTTCTCATTGAGTAACTGTGAATACTATTCGATTTGAAAAATAAAATTTTTGATAAAGATCCTAGATACTATATGCAGTAACATATGATACTTTATTTTCAGATAAGATTACTTTTTAACTATTTTAGAATACTATAAATATAAGTATAAAAGATAATAACTAATTAATACATCTTATACTTAAAATTAAATGAAAATTTTTATATAAAAAGATTTTGCATAAAAGAAAAATAAGTTTATATTATTTTACTCAAATAATCACTAGTCAAAATAAGACAATTCAGATAAAAGACAATTTGGCTAAAATTTAACTGATTTCAGCCAAAATTTATAAAGATTACTAATTTTAGAATTTCTGATTTAAGTCATTTAGAAAATAATTTAAATTTGACATTTCTGATTTAGATTAATCAGAAAAAATATTAAATTTAGAATACTTTTAATTTTATATCTAATCTAAAAATTAAATTCAATATATACTAATTTAGTTATAATTTAGTTTTAAAATGTCTAAAAATCTACTGTATACTACTGCAATATTCAAAAAATTTTCAAATAAAAATCCTTTAAAAACACTTTTCAAATGTACTGTAAATTAGATATGCAAAAATAATAAAAGTTTAACGAATATGATATTTTTTATTAATCAGATTTATGATTAAATATTCTCTTATATTTATTTGATTTGAGATTTAATATTTCATTAGAATAAATCAGCTGAGAATATAATATACTGGAATAATGCAGTTGCACAACTCTTAATAAAATTTAATACTTCATAATTCAACATTACAATTATTATAATTTTCATTATTATTAAAATAATATTGAATACTACTAGAATTTACAGGTTGATCCTATCAGATAAATGCTAAAAAATGTTTTATTTGAAGAGTCAATTGTATGTTTAAAAAAATATTAAATTTGACTAAAATAACAATTGATATTATCATCATCTGTCAAAGATTAGGCTAAAACAAATGAACTTTTAATATAGCAGAATGATATTAAAGAGCTGAATACTTTAGATCTAATTTGATACCTTCTGAATTTACTAATTCTTACTCAGATAATATTTGAATCTTCAGGTCCATCTTTAAATAGATTTTAAAAATTATATCTTATATAAGTTATAATATTAAATAAAATGCTTGATTTAATAGTCAAATATTATAATATAATATTTTCTGAAAAAGGATTTAGCATATCTTTTAAAAATGATTTAAATCTGTAAATTAAAGATTCTTTAATATTTTGCAAATACATTAAATATCATTCCATTTCGTCTGAAATAAATTCAGCACTCTCTAAAACTGAACTAATTAAAATACTTATGCTAAGTATATCAAAATCTTTTTAGTAACTATTTTAAAATTAATAATATTATCTATTTAGTTATTACTCATAATATGATATATAAGTTCTAACTCAATTTTTTGATAACTATTAGGCAAGGTATCTAATACTCCATTCATGCATTTAAATGAAAAATATCAGAAGATATAACAAGATTTAAAATCTTTCACATATTAATATAAAGAGAAAGATAAAGTTTAGAAGTTATAAAGTCTTAGCCATAATTTTTTCAATCAACTTCACAATTTTAATCAATTTCTGATAAGCCTTTTTTATTAGTTTGATTTCTATAATTTAACTTACCAAAATTATATAAATTTTTATAAAACACGTAAGAATTTTTTTATCTTTAACTGAAAGTTGTTGTCAAAATGATATATTAACATAAACTGTAAAAAATATTCTCTATTGATTAGCTATAAAATTAGCAA